TACCACCAGAAACACTAAGCGTATAGTACAGCTCGGAGAGGTCAAACTCTCCCGTGGACTAGTTTCGTTCTTGGGGAAACCACATAAATCCGTGTGTTGCTTACTTGTTCAGTTCAGTTCAGTTCAACTTTGTTAACATGGTATCAGAGATGCCAGTTAAATTTTACATTATGCAACGGTTTTGTAAAGTCAGTTAACTTTTACTTAACGTTTAAGACACTACATAAAACTTATGAATAGATGATTATTTATGTATCAATTAAATAAACATATTAATAAAATATTCAACAATAATTAAGACACCACGTAAAACTTATGAAGGGATAATTCTTTCTTATATATCAATTAAACAAACATATTACGTATATATCCATTAATGATTAAAAAACTACATAAAACTTATGTGTTCTTATCCAAATTATTTTGATTTCAACTAAGTCATTAAAATGAATTGATAAAATGCAAAGATAAATTATTTTTATATCACGGCCAAGCGCGGGCCAAAAATCTAGTAAACTTTAATTTTAGCATCGTATTCGGGTCATGAAGTGGCACGAATACGCTGATATGTGATTTGACTAATGATCTATTAACCGACTATTGGCAATGTGTATCGATGATTGAGTTACGAGAAAACGTGTTTCATGTGTACATGAATGAAGTTGCTATCTATGTCGTGCAATTATGAACATGCTATGCGAACATGTGCTGGTGAGTAAAAAGAATACGATTGATATGATTGTGTATGACATAAATGAGTTTATGTTGGGATGGATGGAAGTGATCATTGAATGATTATGATTGGGTGATGTGATTATGATGGTTGTAAACTTGTTAGAATAAGATGACGAGAGCTTGCGCAACCATATGCTCTAGTCGACGAATTGCTCGGATTATAGAACGCGGTGTGTGGGAAATGGGTTAAGCAGGAAAGTGTTGTGTCATTGTCATCTTGCATTGGATATTGAAGCATTCACAACTTGTCGCATTGAAACAGAAATATTGTTACAACAACATAGGATGAGGAAAAATAGTTTCAAATGTTAGGAGCTACAATCCGCCAAGGGAGTCGAGGGATAGCATAAAATTGGACTGGGACTTCAAAGCCTCGAAGTTAGCCCATTTGGGGAAAGGGCCGCAATTGATTTTGCCTCGGCGAGGGCTTGTTTGGCTAGAAACTGGGACCGAGAGCAGTTTTGCCGGCGGCAGATCTTGCTCGGACAAGGAACTGGGAACCTTGGATGAAGTGCCAGTCGCATTGGACGGCGGTGCGATTCTTGGCTCTCTTCCTCGAGAGGAATAGCTTGGAGAGGTGCTGAATGGCGATGAAAACGGTGACGGTTAGTGCGATGATCGCCACTTGGAGGGTCGTTCGTCAACATATTTGTGGTAGTCTCTAAAGAGCGGTGCAGCTTTGGTAGCAGTGATAGTGTTGAGGAGAGAGGGCAGATCAGGTAACTAAGGGGGTGCTTAGTTATTTGACTTAGCCCATTCTAACCCTTAGATTTGGACATTGCAATCCAATCGTTAAAAAATGAGAAGGGCTTTCTAATTACTAACAGGGGTAGTTTGGGTATTATGAAAAATTACGAAGTATGCACAACAGACTTACAAACAATACAAATCATACAAACAGTACAAAGTAGAATAACAAAACATACAAATAGATTTACAAAAAATACAAAACTGACGAACTATACAAACAATACAAAGTACACCGACAAACAATACAAACCATAAAAAATGAAAAAACAATCAGGTTAACTTTGGAGGCTTCATCCCTATATACAGGGCACCGTCCCAAAGTCAACCCGTTTGTTTTTTAGACTTACAAACATTACAAACATGGTGGACAAAAATTACAAAGTAGACCGGCAAACCATAAAAAATGGAAAAACAACTGGGTTGACTTTGGAGGCTTCATCTCTATATAGATGAATTCTGCCCAAAAGCCAACCAGGTTGTTTTTTAGACATAAAAAAACATTACAAACATGGTTGACAAAAATGACAAACATTATGGACAAAAATAACAAAGTTTACAAACATTACAAGAGAAACCAAAAAACATTACAAAAATAACAAAGCTTACAAACATTACATAAGAAATGGACAAACAATACAAAACATACTAACAGTATAAAAATGTCACTACTTATAGCACAAAACAGTAAACTTGTATTACAAATCAATGAATACAAAGTATACAGATTATAACATTAAGTATACAAACTAAACAAATAAAAATTATAAATTACAATATATACAAATTTTTCATATAAATGTTACAAATATAATAAATAAAAATGAAAAGGTATACAAACCGAATTGATACAAAATCACAAAATAGACTTACAAACATTTCAAAATAGTCCGACAAACATAACAAAACAGATGTTGTCTTTCTCCTTCCTAAAGTAGTGATTGAGGAAGTGGAAAGAATCTGTAGTGATTTTGTCTGGGGAGTAGAAAGAGGAGTTAAACTCAGAGCAAATGTTGTCTGGCAGAAAGTTACTTATCCAAAGAAGGAAGGAGGGTTGGGGTTCAGAGATATGAGTAGTTGGAATCAGGCTTGCATGATAAGGCGTATCTAGTTAATTTTATTGCAAGAGGGGTCTCTGTGGGTTGCGTGGATCAACCGATACAAACTAAAAGGTAGATGTTTCTGGAATTACACCTGCTCTTCGGGGTCTTGGAACTGGCATAAGATTCTCAAGTTAAGAAGCAAGGTATCTCTGCTCATCTCGAGTAGGAATAATGTCTTGCTTCTAAATAATCTTCCCATGCCTCGGTTTTCTATTAAAAGAGTGTGGCACCTCCTCAGGCCTACTTAGCAGAAGGTAGACTGGTGGAAGATAGTTTGGAAGGGCAAAGCTATCCCACGAAACAGAATCATAACTTGGTTGGTTATCAAGGGTAGTATCCACACAAAGGATAGAATGCAGCAATGGGGGTACATAGGGCCTTTGTCTTGTGTTTTGTGTGGTGGTGGGACAAAGAATAGGCCGCACTTGTATGTTCTGTGTCCATTCACTAGACAGCTTCTTGATGCATTATATAGTGGTTCTTTGCAGGTTCCTTTACTCCAGACTTGGGAGGGCCTGATTGCGTGGATGATATCAAAACTCAGTCATCAAACTGATATGGCTGAAACAGGCAGAGTCATTTGGCAGTCCTGGACAAGTCACGTATGGAGGTGTTGCTAGAGAGTTTAATGAACTGTTTTTATTGATTAAAACTGAAGTTGAATGTGTTTTGAGTAGTGAAAAGGTCTGCCAATTCTGGAATGTTTAGCTAATATTATGTCTCAGAGGATAGGTTCCATTTAACTGTTTCCCAACGTTTGGTTGGTTCCCTAGCTAGCAAGGGTGTTGCTAGCAGCTCTATTTTTTTATGAATAAGATCCCAATGATTCATAAAAAAAAAAACAGATGTTGTCGCCGGAAAATCCCCATCGTCGGAAATTCTCTCCAACGCCGCCGGAAAATTCGTCGATGACGGAAAATCTCTCTCTCTTTCTCTCTCTCTCGCAAAGGGGAAGAAAGAATCACCTTGGCCGAAAGAATCCCCCTAGCCCTGGTATGCGGAATTAATGATTGACGGCGGTTCAGCGGAGGGACGGTCAGGGTAGGGAAATTCCACCATCGGGAGGGCACAATTCCCAAGAAATTTCCTGGTGGGAGCTGGGCATCGCGAGGGAATGAAAATTGTTTTTATGTTTTAATTGTGAAATAAATTAATTAGGTTATTACCACCTTGCCTTTTATTAAATGAGATTAATTCGAACCATTGGATTTTAATGAGGTTGAAGGGTTGAGATTCATTTAATCATGTAACTAAGTGACCCCCCTAGTCACCTTATTTTAGCCCTTGAGTAGATGTGGAAGTCAGCTCTTTATCCTGATGTACGTTATAATTTATCGAGCCATATAATGATGCTAACATTGTTGGATAATTTTCATGTACGTTCTTAGTTGTTAGATTGAGATGGTGATACTTATGTAAATAATATTGACATTTGCAAATCAATCGATTGAAAATGCATTAGAAGACAATTCAACAATGTCAGTACGTGTTGATTGCTGCTATATGATGATATATAGTTGTGGCTATCTTTCTTGTTCAGTGTCATGGTTTATTTTGGCTTTGTTGGTTAAGTGCAGGTGGAGTTGTTATCGGCCAGGATATATTTGGGTGAGGTTGGCAAGACTATTATGGTGAAATTCGTTTTACTTAATATGAACTGGAGTTGTTGTTGTGTTGTGTTGGAGGAGTGGGTGTTGTTTCGCCCATGCCCATGCTTATGCTCGTTTCTCCAAATTCTTGCATAGACAAATTATGTTTGAGCTAACGTTCTATATTTGTGATCTTGGTGGGCTTGTTTGGCAAGGGATTGCGACTGGGCTGATTCGGCCTCGGCTGAAATTCAAAGCTACAATTGTTGAGGAAAAGAAGCTCCACTTCAAGACTTCTACAAATGGGTAAATGAAGCGAAGTACATCTAAATTCTAAACACAATAGGAGAAATGAGAAATAAATAAATAGGAGAAACAAAAATTTCCCTTTTCCGTTGTATAGATTCTAATTTCATGTCCAAAAACTTGAATGAAATTAGCCCCATACTTTCATAAGTTGCGTGTACGTGTGGCTTCCCAGTCACACAAGAGTAACATTGCCCCTTCCTCTTTTCCTTTGCTTCCTTTACAAATAACCTATGAAAAATGCCTCTACCAACAAAACAAGAAGAAGAAGAAGAAAAAGAAAGCATATTAATATCAAATGGACTTTTCTTCCTCCGCCCACACCACAAATTTATAGAAGGCATCCATCCTCTCCTTCTCTTCATCTCCTTGTTTGAACCAACCCCTCTTTTCTCATGTGGACAAGTCATAGAAGAAGAACATATCAGCCATGAGAATGGTGCCCAAGCAAGCCAAAAACCCATTGGGAGTATTCCTTTTTTCCCATATAACAGAACTCCTGCTTATGATGACTCTTCATTCATTCCATCACAAGCTGCATGTGACGGTTAAGGTCGTTGAGGTAGTTGGTACACGTGTAATCTTGCAAGTCACTAGCATCCAATATCACTGCTCTCCCTGAGCTGGTCTTAGATATCATCACCATATCTATTGCTAGGTCTTCCCCGTTCAGCAATTGCACAATCTACACACAGTGGAAAACCCCAGTTTTATCTGTCTGGTTTGGAATAGTAATTCTGTTAAACAATCAATTTACCTTACTCATGGACGGTCGCATCTTGGAGACATGGTCAATGCACAGAAAGGCTGTCACCATTGCACGCTTCATCTCTATGGGATCGAAATCATTTCCTAATCTTGGATCCACCAATGTACTCACATCATTATCCTCCAACAATGGTTTTGCCTGGAGAATGCCACAAGATATATGAGGTTGATCATCAAGTAAGAGACGTTGACTCAGATGCTACGCTATGGAGATGATACCCACATAGCAAGGCTTTGTCTATTGGAGTCAACTGCGTGGCGACCTGTGATGATCTCCAACAATAGTACTCCAAAGGCAAATACATCTGTCTTCTCATCCACCACTCCATGCATGAAGTATTCTGGAGCCAAGTATCTGAGAAACCAAAGTTCCAAGTTATGAACAAATGTTTCTTTCTTTTGTATGAATGGTAGAGTCTTGATTATTCATGGAAATATGCTCTCACCCAAATGTGCCTTCAATTGGGTAGACAATGTGTTGAACCCAATTCTCTGGGAGCCATTTTGCTAATCCAAAATCAGAAATCTGAGCTTCATAATCTTCACCAAGCAAGATGTTTGAAGCTTTAATATCTCGGTGGATAATACGCCTAGGGCAATCATAGTGAAGATACCTAAGACCTTCTGCAATACCTATAGCAACTTTGTATCTTTTCTCCCAATCTAGAAACTCTCCCAACCCTGGAGAAAGGTTGAAAAGAGTGCCCACCTTATTAGTCTCAATTTAAATATTTGTGGGTATGAAGATGTCGGATAATGAAAAAAAGCTGGAGTAGAAAGAAGCAGGAGGGCACCATGGAGCTTATTTGCAAGGCTTCCATATGGTAGGAACTCTAGGACAAGATGCAAACCACTCGATGTTGAAACCTATAAGTCTAGCTGCATTTGGATGGTTTATATGTGCAATTATCCCAAGCTCTGATAAGAAATCAGCTATTAGGTCATCATCTTGTTTGTCAGCTTTCATTATCTTCTTCACAGCCACAATTTGACCATCATGTTGTATACTTCTGCATGACCCCCTTTCCCTATCAAGTTCTCTGCTCAAATTTTCAACCCAGAGAATCAGTAAGTTGTTGAAACCCACAGAATGAGAAAAGTCCAGTCTAAAGAAGAAAAAAACCGTATTAAAATCATAACCAACTTAACGACATTGAGACATCATCCGGTCAACAAATCACTCTAACATGCATTTAGTAGGTCAAACATATTAAATTATTAATATCTCTTAAACTTCACCATCTATCTGTAATTAGTCAAACAGATGCAGCTAAGATCTTTGAATAACTTCCAACAAGTGAGTCATCAACTCCGGAAGATTCAAAACTATTGTAAAGTCAGAAGCTTGCTATGACCACTTTGAACAAACATTAAGAAAAATCTAAACAATTCTCTAACCTGGGCAGAAATCATCGGTAGCAGCAGTGAGCTCGCTAAAATCAAAGTTCCTCCAAGAAGGTTTAGGTACAGGGAACCCATCATAGTCAATGACAACATCGCAGGGGTTCGTAACCCGGGAAAGTTTCTTCTTGGTGATAACCTCGTAGATAGTGATCAATGGAATTACAGAGAACCGCCTCACTGACTTCTTCCTAATGTTTTCGAACATGGATTTCCATTGGTTCCAATCCTTTGAGGGGTCAATTTCTATGTCTGTGACGTCATCAGTCGGCTGGCTCTCCGACTGCGTGCTGCCAGAGCCGGTGTGTGATCAGGATCTGGGTCTGGGTCTGAACCTCCCGAGATAGAAACCTCCAACACACATATTGGTGAAGGGTCTTCCAAGATGAAATTCCCATGCATTTCTGGGATTTCTTGAGTTTCAGCAACTGCTATCTCTTCTTCATTTAAACTCAACACGAAAAGTGATCAGAATATATCAAAGGGAAAAGTGAAGAGGAAAAACATAATTAGGCATGCCCGCCATAAGCATATGAAAAGGGCAAGGGGAATATAAAAGGTTTTTGTCGCTCTTATCCCATAAAAACAACAGATCATGCCAAAAGAGCTGTAAAAGATTAATGAGCCAAAAAAACTGATGAAAGCTTTTTGTGGGACTTCATGCTAGATATTTTTTTGTTTTTGGGAAGAATAATATCTCAATTCTCAAGACCATAAAAGCAACATATAATGCCAAAAGAGTTGTAAATGATTAACGAGCCAAACGTACTGATGAAAGCTTCTTGTGGGACTTATATAAAACACATGCTAGGCGGCACTTTTGTTTTTGGGCACAACAATATCTCAATTCTCAAGATCTCTGGCCATGTCCCTACTCTTTACCTTACCTCGTTTGCTCTTCTATACAACCAAATAGAAACCCGGAAAAGATTTGGTCAAGTATGCTAATATATCTCACCTTCCCTAGTAGCCAAGAACTCTTTCTGGGTATCTTTGAAATCTTCACAACATATCAGGAAATACAACAGCTTTCTTCTTCCCCAGTTTTCCTTTTGAACCGTAATCCAACTTCTCAATACCCAGTAAAGAGCCACATGATGGAAGATTGAAGCAAAATCCAGAAAAAAGATTAAAGATATGCCAATTGAAGTTTCTCACACAAGAACAACGGAAGAGGGGCTGAAGCTTGCCTACATCATTGGGTTGGCTCTAAAAGGAAGAAAAGGGGAAATTGGGAGGGAATAAAGAAAAAAATGAAAAAAAAAAGAATAAGGGTGGGAAATGGATCAACAACAGAAGTGGAGAATTGGATATCTTTATTCGTTGGTTATTCTTGGGAGGAGAAGATGGGGAAATGTCTGTCTCTGTAGGCTGTTCTTGGAATCATCTTTCATTTCGTGTATTTTTATTTTGTTCCCTCTCCTTAGGGTGTATTTGAAACTCTACGAAGGGGTACGAAAAGGAGGGGAAATTGGAATCTAGGAATGTGAAATCGTGGTCGTCGATTTTTAACGCTCTAAAAGTTTTCCGCCACTAGCGCTTTGAAATTGAAAGAGGCAAAAGCGAAAGTAGTACTCGGGTTAATTACTGTAGAGTACCTAACATTTGGTCTTTGTAAATTCTAGACCTCTCAAAATTCATATTAACCTACCCGTCAACTGGTACTTGTAGTAGCAGCATTAAGAGATTATTTGCTTTAGTAATTTGGTATCAAATGCCTTGTTTATTATCGAACAAGATTATGATTCATTTTGTTCATATAAATTTCCCAGATAACCATGTCTAATTATTTCCAAATATCTCATATCCATGAGTCATTTCCAAAGGATTCCTTATTTAGCTCAAAATTTTCAATTATGTCGACTCTTATTTGTAAACTCACTTCTATCTTTCATTTTTGGGTTAATATTTTCGTATGGCCTGAACTTTGACCAAAATAAACATCCTGGCCAATCTTTTCGATCTATAACATCCTGGCCCGAACTATACACAAAAATAAACAATTTGGCCAAACCTGATGTTTGACCGTTAACTTGGCCGGTCAAACGCGTTGACCATTAGTCAACGCGCCATGTCATTGCCAAGTCAGCATAAAATATTTAAAATAATTCACAATTTCCACACATTCCCTAATTTTAAATTATTATAAATTAAAAAAATCATCTAATACCTTAGTTAAACCAAAAATAAAAAAACGAAAAAAATTAAATATTTATCAGATCTTCTGAGTTGGCAGTGATGTAGCAGTGACGTGGCGCATTGACCTTTAGTCAACGTGTTTGACCGTCCAAGTTAACGGTCAAACATCGAGTTTGGCCAAATTGTTTATTTTGGTGTATAGTTCGGGCCAGGATGTTATAGATCGAAAAAATTGGCCAGGATGTTTATTTTGGTTAAAGTTCAGGCCATACGAAAATATTAACCTTCATTTTTTATTGTTTGTTCCCATGCCATTGCTCTGTATCCCTTCATAATTCCCCCCCCCCACCCACCCCAAAAAAAAAGTTTGCAGCGACAAAGAGAGCCCTACATCTCGTCGTCTCCACCAACCTCTCTTCACCATAGCTTGTCGTCTAACTGGAGCTGCTCGCTTCAAGAATGAGTCAACTCTTCCCAATCATCAGAGTTCTATTCTCCATCGTTAGCAACCAACGTACACCAATCATATCAAAGCCTCCCCCGCAGGTCATCTACCCGAGACACATTTTCCATTCACAAACCTAACCATTTGCAGGGCATTCACTATGATTCTTTGTAATTATGCTGAATTTGGGACTTCTGGGGTTGTTACCTTTTAGAAAGAAAATTAACATAATATATTTTTTAACATTAGAAATTAGTATTTCACATTACTCGTACTGAAATAATATGTTTTGTTGGTTTCAAAAATAATTTTGTTTTCGGTTTTATTAGAATAGAAAAGTAGATAATAAAACATATTAAATGTAAGAAAAAATCATTAAAATATATAGATGACCAATTTAAGAATGACTCATCTAAAAAATTTTAAAGAACAATAAATTGTAGATATCTAGATTTAAGCAAATGACTCGTTATGTAAATAACTCATCCAAACGACCTATAACAAGGTGTAGGTTGTATCGAAAAAGAAAATTGTAAAGTATTTTATGATGAAAACGTGGTTCAATTTTTTATACCTCTAAATATCATTTATCAATTTAGCCTTCGGTAGAAGAGGTTTTCTGGTCGAATTGTCGATACGATATGATTTTTCAGTACTGAAAAAACTGCCCATGGTTGTCATTCTTGATTCACGAGACCAACAAATGGTGAAGGATTTAATATACTTAGGCTCCACAATAATAGTCGAGTTCGTTTCGGGAATAGATTCGCTGCATAACTTACGTATGCATAACCCTCGCTTACCATTTATGGAAGACAATTAACTATTTCATCAATTTAGTTTTGCAGGCTATTACTCTTTCATTTGAAGTCATATTTGTTTTTTTTTCTGAAGAAAAAATTAGATTAATTGTGCTCTTCAAATTGGCATCCACTTTGATATATTTTGGAACAAAAAAATTGAGATATTTATTACCAATCAAGACTATGTGGTAATGTTTGGTAGTACATAAGATTATACCACGTGGTATGGAAGTGTATCATGATGGTATCAACTAGAGTCTAGAATGATTATATACATGATAGTAGTAATATACTAATGGTCGTTTACCACTGTCCATCACCATCTAGCACAAGTTATCACCCTATACTAGGATGGTATATGGTGGTATATTTGGTCCCAAAATTTTATTCCCCAGAAATTTGTAGATCTAATAGATCACGATGAACCCGTTCCTTATGGATATTTTTTTTTCTTCAAAATTTGAGTTAAAAATGAGGTGATATTAGGGTGGTAACGAGTAGTACAGGTTGTACAAAAAAAAATCCTGAAATTTTATATAATTTTTTAGAGCACAACCAACTTGTTCCATCTGTTCCAATTTTTTGAAAACAAGTTAAAACCAGGAAGATAAAATCTAATTAAAAAGAAGTGAAAATAAAAGCCCTTTAATCTTAACCATTAGATTGGACACACTTAAAATCAAAGGTCAATATCTAATTATGCAAGACTTATTCAACCTATCTTGGACTATTGATTTCTTTTCATGTACAAATAGTTTCTAAATTTGGTGATGGGTGTTGTTTATATTTTATGTGGTTTTAGACTAACAAACATTAGGAAAATACTCAAAATAAAAATGTATATTCGATTCTCTCAAAGTAATTTGTAAGTGTTTTATTTTTTTTATTTTATTGGTTTGTACTATTGCCTTTCACTTGGTAATGAGCAAACTGAAGGCTTTTCCAATGATGTAGTTTCTTGCTTTTTTAAAATTTAGAATTAAAAATTTGTGAATAAGTAAAGGGAGTTCATTGTGGTTGATTGTTCAATATTGACGGCGCACGTACTTTAATTGGAATTGTCAGGGGGCAAAACACCCAAAATTCCTTTCAATCTTTAAGGATTATATGGTCACCCATAGACCCAATATCATTTTTATCGTGGAGCCGCATATTAGCGGCAGGGAAGCGAAAAATGTGATCAGATTAATGGGGTTCGATAAGCATATTTTTGTTGATGCTATTGTCTTCTTTAGAAGTATTTGGTTACTATGGAGAGATACAGATTTCTCGATCACAGAATTGGACCATGACTCACAATTACGTCACTTTTTGTGCATAGGGCATAACAATATCTCATTCATCTTAACAGCTATCTATGCTAAGCCTAATGATCACGACATGTTACCTCCATGGGCTGCAATCCGACGCCTAGAGAAAAATATTGCGAGACCTTGGCTCTTAGCGAGAGACTTCAATTCAATAACATGTCTGTCGGAGCGAAAAGGAGGAGCAAAGTACAATCCTTGCAGAACCTCCAACTTCAATGCGTGCATAAGGGATTGCGGCCTCCTCGAAGTAGGGTTCAATGGACCTAAATACACATGGAGCAACGAGAAACTGTCCCAACGTTTGGACAGGGCCTTGTGTAACCAGGAATGGATCCAAAAATTCCGAGACACCTTATCAACTCACCTGCCAAAGATCCGATCGGACCATAGACCCATTCTTATCTGCAGCAATAATGAACATGTCCCCCATGGTAGGTAAGACCTTTTTGATTACTGGTGCCTTGGTTAGCCCATAAGGACTTTTCCTCTACACTTGAAAGCCTCGAGGAAT